TGAAATGAGTATTTCTTGATTTGTATGGATAAATATTATTATTGGGATTAGGCTGGTGATGAAAGCAAAGAGGGTTATATTTTTTACATAATGTTGGTACTTGTTGTTTTTGTAGAGGTTTGTACTAGATGCTATGACAGGGGCGATCAGTATGAGTAGTGTGAGTAAGGTGGAGGAAGTGAATAAGTTTATTACTTTTATTTGGAGTTGCACCAATTTTTTGGTTCCTAAGACCAATGGATAACTACTATCCTTTAAAAGCTTGAAAAAGCCACATTGTTAAGTGTGGAGGGCATGAATTAGCAGTTCTTGCAATACTTTTTCGGTAAGTAAGAAGTTTTTGTCTTCTGTTTTTAGTTTCACAAACTAACGTTCTTTTTAAACTATACTTACAATAGAGAGGTCCTAGAATGATTTTAGGGTTTAGCGACAGGAGTAGGAGGGGGATAATGTGTAGGGCCATTAAGGTATGCTCTCGTGTAAAAGAAGGGGTAAGGTTGTTAATATGGTGTGTGTGTTTGCTGCGTTGTGTTATGATTAGTATGTATAGGGAGTAGAGGGCTGTGATTACAATATTTGTTCCCATGAGGATGATAGTGAGGTTTGATCATGAGAAAGTTGATATAATTACGAGCAGTTCTCCGATCAGGTTGATGGTAGGGGGTAGGGCGAGGTTTGTTAGGCATGCTAATAGTCATCAGGTAGCTATTAGTGGGAAAAAAATTTGTAGGCCTCGTGCTAGGATTATGGTTCGGCTATGAATACGTTCGTAGTTTGAATTTGCTAAACAGAATAACATGGAGGATGTAAGGCCATGGGCAATTATTAAGGCAGTAGCTCCTATGTAACTTCAAGGGGTTTGGATAAGGATAGCTGCGATGACGAGTGCTATGTGGCTGACTGAGGAGTACGCGATTAGTGATTTTAGATCTGTTTGGTGTAAACAGATAGAACTGGTTATGATTATTCCTCATAGGGATAGTACAAGGAAAGGGTAGGCTATGTGTTCTGTTAGGGGATTAAGAATTGATGTGATTCGTAGTATGCCTTATCCTCCGAGCTTTAGTAGTACAGCTGCAAGGACTATTGAACCTGCAATAGGGGCCTCTACATGTGCTTTAGGTAATCAAAGATGTAGACCGTAAAGGGGTATTTTTACTAGGAAAGCTATTATGCAAGCTAATCATATGAAAGTATTAGACCAGGAAGTTGGTAGTGGTTGGGCTCAGTATTGTAATAATAGGAAATTTAGGGAGCCTACTGTATTTTGTAGGTATGTTAGTGCTACTAGTAAGGGGAGAGATCCTATGAGTGTATAAAATAAGAAGTAGAGTCCTGCGTTAAGTCGTTCTGTTTGGTTGCCTCAACGGGTAATGATAATGAGAGTAGGAATTAATGTGGCTTCGAATGTAATATAAAACACAATTCTATAGCAGTAAAGGTTATAATTAAGAGGGTTTGTAGTATAATTAGTATTGTAATGTAGAGTTTTTTTCGGGTAAGTGGTTCTTTTAGGAGGTGAGATTGGCTTGCTATTAATATCAAAGGAAGAAGTCATATTGTTAATATTAAGAGTGGTGTAGAAAGGGAGTCAGAGAAAAATGTTAAATAGTTGAGGCTGTTATCGTTAAATTGGTTAAGTAGAAGTAAGCTTGTAAAGCTGATTAGTAAACTGTGAGTTGTAGTATTAATTCAGATAAAGTTACTTTTTGATAGTCAAGTTAAAGGTATAATAGTAGGAATAATGAATTTTAGCATTGAAGGAGGTTAAGGTTTTGTACGTAGTCGGTACCATATGTATCGGAAACTATGACTGATAATGTTAGTCCAATAGCTGCCTCGCAGGCTGCAAATACTAAGAGGATGATTGGTATCATGTTGGCCAGAGTGAAGTGTGTGTTTAGGATTGTAAGGGCTGCTAGAATAAATAATGATAATACTATGCCTTCTAAGCATAGAAATGCAGATATTAGGTGGGATTGGTATATTAATAAACCTGTGAGGGATATTGTAAAGGCGATTAAAATGTTAATATGGACTAGAGACATTTGGTACTTGTGAGTTTAGATCACAGTCTAGTGGGTCGAAATCACTTGTTTTATTTTAAACTAAGTATCATATTTATCTCATTCTAGGCCTTTTTGGGTTCATTCATAGGCTAGGCTAGCTGCCAGTAGGGAGATTAGGAATAGGGCCATAAGGAGTATTGTTGTTAGGTTATTTGTTTGGATTGCTCAAGGTAAGGGGAGCAGGAGAGCAATTTCTAGGTCGAAGAGGAGGAAAGTAATTGCTACTAGGAAAAATTTTATGGAAAAAGGTAGGCGAGCAGATCCTATTGGATCAAAGCCACATTCGTAAGGGCTGGTTTTTTCTGCATAGACATTTAGTTGGGGGAGTCAAAAAGCGATAAGTATGAGTAGTAAGGCTAGGGTTGTGTTCGTCAGTAGCATTAATAGAAGGTTTATTGTTCTTTTTCGGGGTGTACCGAAACTAACTGATTGGAAGTCAGTTGTACTTGTTAATACTAAAAGGACTACGAACCTCATCAATAGATTGATACATAGAGGAATAATCACACGACGTCTACGAAATGTCAGTATCAAGCGGCGGCTTCGAAGCCAAAGTGGTGGTTTGATGTAAAGTGGAACATTATTTGGCGTATGAAGCAGACGATAAGGAAAGTTGATCCGATGATGACGTGTAGTCCGTGGAAGCCTGTGGCTACAAAGAAGGTAGATCCATAAACTCCGTCTGAGATTGTAAATGGGGCTTCATAATATTCTGATGCTTGAAGTAGGGTAAAATAGAAGCCGAGTATGATTGTGATGAGAAGAGCTTGGAGTATATGTTTGCGGTCCCCTTCTATGAGACTATGATGGGCTCAAGTGATAGATACACCGGAAGCTAATAGCATGGAGGTATTGAGGAGTGGGACTTCTAGTGGATTTAGAGGGTGGTTACCTGTTGGTGGTCAGGAGCCTCCTAATTCAGGAGTAGGGGCAAGACTTGAATGGTAAAAAGCTCAGAAGAAGCCTGTAAAGAATAGGACTTCTGATAAGATAAATAAGATTATACCATATCGAAGCCCCTTTTGAACGGTTGGTGTGTGGTGGCCTTGGAAGGTACTTTCTCGGACGATATCTCATCATCATTGGTATATTGTTAGGGTATTTGTCAAAAAGCTTAAAGTCAGTAAGATTATTGAGTTGAAGTGGAATCATATGATTAGGCCTGATGTTATAAGAAATGCTGAGAGAGCTCCTGTAAGTTGTCAAGGACTGGGGTTTACTATATGATATGAGTGGGTTTGGTGGGTCATTATGTATTGTCCTGCAAGTATAGGCTTACTAGTAAGGTGAATACGTAGGCTTGGATTAGGGCTACGGTGAATTCGAGGATGATTAATAAGGTGAGGATGGTGAATGTGATGAGGGCTGTGAATAGACTAATATCTATTAATGCAAGAGTTGCACTTCCGATTAGGTGTAGTAATAGGTGACCTGCTGTGTTGTTAGCTGTTAGCCGTACTGCTAGAGCTAAAGGCTGAATAAATAGGCTGATAGTTTCGATTATTACTAATATAGGGATCAGGAAAGTGGGTGTGCCTAGTGGTAAAAGGTGGGCTAGGGATATTTTTGTCTTGTTACGGAAACCGATAATGACAGTGCCAGCTCACAATGTAATAGCTATGCCTAAATTTATAGAGAGTTGAGTACTGGGTGTAAATGAGTGGGGTAGTATTCCAAGAAGATTTTTGGAAGCGATGAATAGGAAAAGTGAGATAAGTATTAGAGATCAGGTTTGTCCTTTGAGGTTATGTGTAACTATCAGTTGCTTTGATGTAAGTTTGGTTAGTCATTGTTGGAAAGCGATTATACGATTATTGATTAATCGATTTGGTGTTGGGAATAGTATGGTGGGAAATATAATAATTAGAGTAGTGATAGGAATACCTAGTATAATCGGGATTATGAAAGGGGCAAATAGATTTTCGTTCATGTGTAATTTCAAGGGGTTTGTTGTTTTTGTAATTTAGTGCACATTGGTTTGGGGGAAGGAGAATAAAAATGCTTTGAGATTTTTAGTTGAAGTAATGTGAAGAGGGTAAAGATCATAGAGAGAATGGTAAGGAGTCATGTTGATGTATCTAGTTGTGGCATATCATTAAGGGGAGTTTATAACTCTCAATCTTTAACTTAAAAGGTTAACACTAGTTTAGCTTCTTAATGAAGTTATAATATGGATGCAGATCATTTTTCAAAGTTCTCTAAGGGTACTAATTCGAGAACGATTGGCATAAAGCTGTGATTTGAGCCACAGATTTCTGAACATTGTCCATAGAACAGGCCAGGTCGTGTTGATATCAGGGTTGTTTGGTTTAGGCGTCCAGGAATTGCATCTGTTTTTAGACCCAGGGAAGGAACAGCTCATGAGTGTAATACATCTTCTGAGGAAACTAGTATTCGGATTGTTATTTGTATGGGTAGGACCATTCGATTGTCTACTTCTAGCAATCGTAGTTCTCCTGGTTTTAGGTCCAAGGTTGGAATCATGTAGGAGTCAAAATTTAGGTCTTCGTAGTCAGTATATTCATAGCTTCAATATCATTGATGTCCTATTGTTTTTACGGTAAGGGAGGGATTGTTAATTTCGTCTATTATGTAGAGAATTCATAGAGAAGGTAGGGCAATTATAATTAAGATAACGGCTGGGAGGACAGTTCAAATAGTTTCTACTTCTTGAGCATCTATTGTACTAGTGTGTGTTAATTTGGTTGTAAGTATTAGGGTAATAATATAGAGGACTAGGGAGCTAATTAGGAAAACAATCATTAATGCATGGTCATGAAACTGTAGGAGTTCTTCTATAACAGGTGATGCTGCATCTTGTAAGCCTAGTTGGAAAGGGTATGCCATGGAGATATACAGGGTTTTCACTTGTGATTTAACTTTGACAAAGTTACGTAAGACTTTACTAATATCTCACTCATAAAGAAAGACATAATGGTTATGATGTTGGCTTGAAACCGATTAGAGGGGGTTCGATTCCTTCCTTTCTTGAATATTTTAGGTTAACATATACTGGTTCCTCAAATGTGTGATATGGTGGAGGACATCCGTTTAGTCATTCAAGGTTTGTGGAGGTGGGGTCTACTGCTAATACTTCCCGTTTAGATGCGAATGCTTCTCAGATAATGAAGATTATCAGTATGACTGCTGTCAGTGAGATGAAGGAGCCTATTGATGAGATGGTATTTCGTGTTGTGTAGGCATCTGGATAGTCGGAGTATCGACGAGGTATTCCAGATAGGCCTAGGAAGTGCTGTGGAAAGAATGTCATATTTACACCTACGAATATAATTATGAATTGGATTTTTGTTCATGTTGGGTTAAGTGTATAGCCTGAAAATAGTGGAAATCAGTGGACGAAACCCCCTATGATGGCGAAAACAGCTCCTATTGAAAGTACATAGTGAAAATGGGCAACTACATAATAGGTGTCATGGAGAATAATGTCTAGGGATGAGTTAGCCAGGATAATACCAGTTAAACCTCCTACTGTGAATAAGAAAATAAAGCCTAAAGCTCATATTAGGGCGGGAGATCATTTAATACTTCCTCCGTGAAGTGTTGCCAGTCAGCTGAAAACTTTTACTCCTGTAGGAATAGCAATAATTATAGTGGCTGATGTAAAGTATGCTCGTGTGTCTACGTCTATTCCAACTGTAAATATATGATGAGCTCATACAATAAAACCCAGGAAACCAATAGAAACTATAGCTCATACTATTCCCATATACCCAAAAGGCTCTTTTTTCCCCAAATAATGGGTAACGATATGTTAAATTATTCCGAAGCCGGGCAGAATTAGAATATATACTTTGGGATGACCAAAAAATCAGAATAGGTGTTGATACAGGATTGGGTCGCCTCCTCCTGCTGGGTCGAAAAAGGTTGTGTTTAGGTTTCGATCAGTTAATAGTATGGTAATTCCGGCTGCTAAGACGGGTAGTGATAGTAAGAGTAAGACTGCTGTGACCAAGACTGATCACACGAAGAGAGGTGTTTGGTATTGGGTTATAGCGGGTGGTTTTATATTAATGATAGTTGTAATGAAGTTAATAGCCCCAAGGATTGAAGATACACCGGCTAAATGCAGAGAGAAAATAGTAAGGTCTACTGAGGCTCCTGCGTGTGCTAGATTTCCGGCTAGAGGAGGATATACAGTTCAGCCTGTACCTGCGCCAGCTTCAATTATTGAAGATGCTATCAGTAGTAGAAAGGAAGGGGGAAGTAGTCAGAAGCTTATGTTGTTTAGACGAGGGAATGCTATGTCAGGGGCTCCAATTATCAAGGGAACTAGTCAGTTTCCAAATCCCCCAATTATGATAGGTATAACCATAAAGAAAATTATTACGAAGGCGTGGGCTGTTACTAGAACATTATAAAGTTGGTCATCTCCGATAAGTGTGCCAGGCTGACCTAATTCAGCACGAATCAACAAGCTTAGACCAGTACCCACTATTCCTGCCCAGGAGCCAAATAGTAAATACAGAGTACCAATGTCTTTGTGATTGGTATAGAATAGTCATCGGTTTATGAACATAGGTAAAATGGCCGAGTAGGCATTAGACTGTAAATCTAAAGACAGGGGTAAAGTCCGCTTTTTGCCAAGTCCTGTGGTGAGTAATCATTTTGAATTGCAAATTCAAAGAAGCAGCTTCAATCCTGCCGGGACTTCTCCCGCCTTTTTTTTCTTGTGGCGGGAGAAGTAGATTGAAGCCAGTTTATTAGGGTATTTAGCTGTTAACTAAAAGTTTGTGGGAGATGTATCCCTCCAATCTAGTGAGGATTTAGCTTAATTAAAGTGTTTGATTTGCATTCAATTGATGTGAGATATGGTCTTGCAATCCTTATTGGGCAGGGGTTAAGTAAAATTATACTTGCTTAGGGCTTTGAAGGCTCTTGGTCTTATTTAACCTAAACCCCTATAGTAGGACAAAGAATGCTGGTGTAAGAGGTAGAAGTATTGTGGATAGTACGATTGCTGTTGGTAAAAGGGTTATTTGTTTTGTGGAGTGGAATTGTCATTTTATTTTTATGTTGTTGGTAGAGGGGAATAGGGTTAATGCTGTGGAGTAGGTAAGGCGTATATAGAAATATAGGTTGAGTAGAGCTGTGATGGCTATGAGGGTGGGTAGGATGAGGGTATCGTTTTTTGTTAGTTCTTGAATAATTATTCATTTGGGTATAAAGCCTGTGAGTGGAGGAAGTCCTCCTATGGAGAGTAGGGTGAGTATAGTAAAGGTTGTTATAACAGGTATTGTATTTCATGTTTGGGATAGTAGTAGTGTGGTGGTAGTGGAGTTTTGGATAAGTAGCATAAATATGGTGAAGGTTATTACAATGTAAATTAATAGATTTAGTAGGGTGAGGGCTGGGTTGTATAATAAAATAGCGGTTATTCATCCTATGTGAGCAATTGATGAGTAGGCTATGATTTTTCGGAGTTGCGTTTGGTTTAGTCCACCTCAGCCTCCAATTAGAATCGATAGAAAGGATATAGTAATTATTAGGTGTAGATTGATTGATGGTGAAATTTGATAAACGATTGAGATGGGTGCGAGTTTTTGTCACGTAAGTAGAATTAGTCCTGTGCTTAGGGGAACACCTTGTGTAACTTCTAGTACTCAAAAGTGAAAAGGGGATAATCCTAGTTTAATGGCTAAAGCTATTGTTATTAAGATGGATGCTGTTGGGTCGAATAATTTTATGATATTCATTGGCTGGAGTGTATTAGGTTAATAATAATTGCTAGTATGAGTAATGAGGATGCTGTGGCTTGTGTTAGAAAGTATTTGGCTGAGGCTTCTGTGGCTCGAGGATTAGGTTTCTTTATTATGATAGGAATGATGGCTATCATATTTATTTCTAGTCCAATTCAGGCGAACAGTCCATGGGAGCTAATGGTTACAATTGTTGTGCTTAGGACGAGGGTTGTTAATAGGGTGATGGAGATGAATGGGTTAATTAGTATGGGAAGGATATGAACCAACATTTCCGGGGTATGGGCCCAGTAGCTTATTTAGCTGACCTTACTATAGATTATGGTGTAATGTGGTAGCACGGAGAATTTTGAATTCTTAAGGGTAGGTTCGATTCCTATTATTCTAGAAATAAGAGGACTTAAACCTCTATTATTTACTCTATCAAAGTAGTTCTTTTGTCAGACATATTTCTTATTTTATGTTTGAGGTGGGATACCTGCTGTTATAATAGGTAGTGAGACGTGTCATATGCAGAGAGCTAGTGTCAGTGGGAGGAAGTTTTTTCAGAGTAGGTGTATTAGTTGGTCATATCGGAATCGGGGGTAGGATGCTCGGATTCATAGGAAGGATATTGTTAATAGTAGCAATTTAACGATTAGGTTTGTTGTGCATAGTTCTGGTGTGTAGGGGTCGTGGAATGCCCCTAGAAATAAGATAGTTGTGAATATATTTATTATGATAATGTTAGCATATTCTGCTAGGAAGAATAGGGCGAAAGGGCCTGCTGCATATTCTCCATTAAAGCCAGATACGAGTTCTGATTCTCCTTCTGTGAGGTCGAAAGGGGCTCGGTTAGTTTCTGCTAAGGTGGAAATAAATCATATTATGGCTAATGGTCATGAGGGGAAGAGTAGTCATGGTTTTTCTTGTGTAGTGTTTAGTGTGGCTAGAGTGAAGGAGCCGTTTATTAGAAGTACAGATAGAAGAATAATAGCTAATGTTACTTCATATGAGATTGTTTGTGCTACTGCTCGTAGTGCTCCGATCAAGGCATGTTTTGAATTAGAAGCTCATCCAGATCATAGAATAGAGTAGACAGCTAGGCTTGGTATTGCTAATATGAAGAGTACTCCTAGGTTTATGTTGATGAGGGGGTGTGGTATGGGTAGGGGAGCTCATATTGTGAGGGCCAGGGTTAGTGCGAGTACGGGTGCGATGATGAATATGGTGGTGGAGGATGTGGCTGGTCGTAAGGGTTCTTTGGTGAATAGTTTGATTGCATTGGTGAAGGGTTGTAATAAGCCATATGGACCTACGATGTTTGGTCCTTTTTGGAGTTGTATGTAGCGTAGGATTTTGCGTTCTACTAATGTTAGAAATGCTACAGCTAAAAGAATGGGAAGGATGAGTGTTAAAATGTTAATTATAAACATTTGTCGAAGAGAGGATTTGAACCTCTGGGTATAAAAGCTTAAGTTTTATGCAATTGCCGTACTCTGCCACTTCAACAAAGCCCTGGTCTTGGGCAGAGTATGTTTGCACTAGTTTATTAGGTTGAGACTGGGTCACTAATTGTTTGAAGTCGCTTTTTTAAAGTTGGCCTTATTTCTCTTGTCCTTTCGTACTGGGAGAAATGCGTAATAGATAGAAACCGACCTGGATTACTCCGGTCTGAACTCAGATCACGTAGGACTTTAATCGTTGAACAAACGAACCCTTAATAGCTGCTGCACCATTAGGATGTCCTGATCCAACATCGAGGTCGTAAACCCTATTGTCGATATGGACTCCAGAATAGGATTGCGCTGTTATCCCTAGGGTAACTTGTTCCGTTGATCAAAATTTTGGATCAATAAGTGATATTATACTTCGGCTAGTAGGCCTAGGTTTTAATCACTCGGAGGGTTTTTTGTACTCCGAGGTCACCCCAACCTTAAAGCTCCATAGGGTCTTCTCGTCTTATTGTGTTATCCCCGCCTCTTCACGGGGAGGTCAATTTCACTGATTAAAAGTAAGAGACAGTAAAACCCTCGTGTGGCCATTCATACAAGTCCTTATTTAGAGAACAAGTGATTATGCTACCTTTGCATGGGCAAGATACCGCGGCTGTTTAACGATTGTCACTGGGCAGGCAGTGCCTCTAATACTGGTTATGCTAGAGGTGATGTTTTTGGTAAACAGGCGGGGTTTGTGTTTGCCGAGTTCCTTTTACTTTTTTAAATCTTTCCTTAGTGCACACCTGTGTTGGGTTAACAGTATGTTTAATAAATAGTTTAGTGTTGGGTTATATTTATTGGCTGTTAACTATCAGTATATTATCAGTCACTGATAAAAGCTTGTGTGAGGAGAACATTTTTCTTGTTACTCATGTTAACAGTATTTCTTCTATAATTAAATAGATTAGTCCAATAGTCAGGCTAGGAGTTATTTTACTTATTGTTGAAATTAAAACTTATTTTTGTTGTTGAGCTTGAACGCTTTCTTAATTGGTGGCTGCTTTTAGGCCAACTATGGTTTAAGTTTTATATTACTCTCTAGTAAAGGTTGTATCCATTTCTAAAAAGCTGTACCTTTTTAGACTAACAATTAAACATACGTTGAAACTTGATGTGGTTTTTAGTATTGTTTAATGTTGAACTGAAATTCCTTTCTTGGACAACCAGCTATCACCAGGCTCATTAGGCTTTTTACCTCTACTTATAAGTCTTCTCACTATTTTGCCACATAGATGAGTTTGTTCTAGTTACTGCTTATAAGTAGCTCGTCTGGTTTCGGGTAATTTAACTTAAGATCTCTTTGCTAAATTATTACTAGTTAAGTCATTATGCAATAGACTACACACTCCAAATAGTTGTTCTCTCTGGTGATACAGCAATGAAAGGAATTCCTGCTATGCAGACCTGGAGCTGCTGCCAACTTATCCCTGAGATTGTTCACGTACCTGAGAACACAGTTCAGGAATGAGGGCCTTAGATTAAAATATACAAAAATACAAAACCAGAATATTATGGGGAAAAAAAAGTTGAAATGCACAAGATATGTCATTCGCCCATAGCTAGTGCAATTGGCATCCTGAAGAAAGTGGGAACCAAGGTAGAGTCATCCAAGGGAGCAAATAAATAAAATTGTATTGGCCCAAAATGGGGTGGGAGTGAGCTTAGAAGCAGCAGGTCTGCAGCCATTCCCTCAATCACCCCTTTTGCCCAGCATCACAACCCACTGCTTGGGACAGTTCTCAGCACCTTATCCCAAGAGGGGTTTATGAGGGGACAAGATGTGGAAAACCCTTCCTTACTCCTGAGATATTCCATCCCACAAAATACAGTAGCTTATAAGTTGGGTCCATCAATCTCTTAATCTCTTCACTCTGCCATGGGACATATTATTCCATATCCTTCTTTAAGTGTAAAACAACTTCCCTATCCAGCCCACTTCCAAAGCTGGAGATTCTGGGGATGGAGCAGGTGGGCAGGGGGACTCAGATAAAGCATGCAGGGAGGGGTTCCCTCCAAAGCCTCATGTGCATTTGGATAGGACATGATTGGAGTCCCTCTTCCTTCCCCCGACCAAGAGGTAATAGGGGGCAATGTTGTGGACCCCAGCCTGAGATACATGGAAGTGCCAGCTGCCCCCCCCCCCCGTCCCCACTTTCTCCACTCTGATGATTGATG